TCCACCAAAAATACAAAATTAGCTGGGCATAGTGGCGGGCACCTGTAGTCTCAGCTACTCAGGAGGCTAAGGCAGGAGAATCGCTTGAACCCCGGCGGGTGGAGGTTGCAGTGAGCTGAGATCTCCAGCCTGGGCAACAGAGTGAGACTCCGTCTCAAAACAAAAAACAAACAAAAAACAAAACAAAACAACAACAGCAAAACCTAGTACCAGGAGAGAAAAAGTCTTTGTTATAAATATCCTGCTATTGCTACCGTTGTTGCAGTAGCTTTGCTATACTTTTTAAAAAGAAACTTTTAAAACAAAAACAATACAGATTAACTTTCTCCAGCTTTAGGAATTTGATGTCTAAAAATTCTGAAGTCTCCTTGTGTGCTTCAGGTGTGAGGTGACTAGGAATACCATCCTCTTCCTTCTGTCCCCCAGGCGGCATATTGTCAAGGCACAGTCCCTATTCAAAGGTCTGTCTGGTCAGTAATGGTGATGTGACCTGGGGCACACTGGGGCTCTCTGAGGATGTTCTCTACCTTAGCTGTGTCACATACCCACAGGTCCACCTCTATTTCTAAATGGTATCACACACAGTTTGGAGTTAGATATACTGTATTTCTCATCTACTTTTGGGAGCCATAATCAGAATGAAATTTTTCTCAGACTGGGATTTCTTTTCCCTATCCAACTAGGCATCTCCTCTCTTGCCTGGAAGAATAGAGCTATTTTCCTAGAGAATAGTTTCTCCATCTAAGAATAGAACAATTTAGATAGCAGGTGGTCTGTTTGATCCTACAGAGTGTAAATATGAGATGCATCAATTACAGATCAACTTTTTACCTTATCAGGTATGCTGTCCTTGTCAAGGTTAATCAATTTTTTCAGGAAACCAGTTTCTGAAAGAAGTAACTTTGCCGTTGCCCAGTTAGGTTTCTTTTGCAGAAGTATACACACTGCATTCATGACAGTCAGTACGAGGAAGGGAGGCCGTGTGTATACTCTGTAATAGATGATGAAAATCTCATCAACTTCACAATTAAAAATGATATGCACCCTGTAAATATCTCAGAAGACAATATACACAGATTTTTTAACACACATTTGGACAAGGAAAACTATTTGTCAACATACAGCTATTTAATTATTTAGGTATTTTTTAAAGATTGGGTGTCTTAAATATAAGAATATCATAGTTTTAGGAAGATGAAATGCATAAAACTTAAATAAGTACTACATCTGAGTTAGAGGCTAATTTTATTATAAAAAGTCTTGGGCTGGGCA